TTATGTATTTTTACAACTAGGAAGAAATCCTCAGCCCATTTATATGTTTTTTTTTCAATCTAAAATAAATAAAATTTCAATTAGGAGAATGTAAGACTTGACTCTGACAAGTATTTTGATTTTAAAATAATATGCTTATTAAGTAAAAACTTAATCTAGGGTGGGTATTTCATTTAAAAAGTAACTGGTTTTTTTCTAAAGTTTTAGAGATTGAGGGACAACCAACAAGCAAGATCACTGTCTTCCATAACGTGGTTAACTTTTAAAACTTAATTTAAAAATTATTCATTGAGTCTTATTTATTTGAAAGGCAGAGAGACAGAGACAGACAGACTAAAAGAGATCTTCCATTTGTTGGTTCACTCTCCAAATGCTTACAACAAACAAGGGCCAGCGTTGTAGCCTTTGGTTAATGTTAAGGTGCTGCCTGCAATGCCAGTATCCCACATGAGCACTGGTGCGAATTCTGGCTGCTCTGCTTCTGATGTAGCTCCCTTTTAATGTGTCTGGGAAAGCATCAGAGGATGGTCCATGTACCTGGGCTCCTGCTGCCCGTGTGGGAGATCCGGATTGAGTTCTTGGCTCCTGGCTTTAGCCTAGCACCAGCTATTGTGATCATTTGGGGAATGAGCCAGTGGATGGACTGTTTCTGTCTGTCTGTCTGTCTGTCTCTCTCTCTCTCTCTGTCTCCCTCACTGTAACTCTGCCTTTCAAATAAACATGCCTGCAACAGCTGATTCTGGGTCAGTGCAAAGCCAGAAGCACAGAACTCAATCTGAATCTCCCACACGGGTAATAGGGAACCCAAGTATATTACCTATTGCTTTCTGGAATATTCATTAGCAGGAAGCTGGAATCAGAAGCAGAGCTGGAACTTGAACCCTAGCACTAAAATATGAGATATGGGCATTCCAAGTGGCATCTTAACTTCTGTGCCAATCTCCTACTCTACTTATTTATTTGAAGAGGGGGGGAGGAAAGGGAGGAAAAAAGAGAGGAAGATAGTGGGGGAGAGAGAGAGCTAGAGCAAGGACATAGCAGAGAAGGAAAGCTCCCATCCACTGGTTCACTCCCCAAATGCCTGCACCAACCAACTAGGGCTGAACTAGGCTAAAGGTAGGAGCTGGGAATTCAATCTGTGTCTTCAACATGGGTGGCAAGGACCCAATCACTTGAGACATCACCACTGCCTTGCAGAGTCTGTGTTGGCTAGAAGCTGAAGGGAAGAGCCAGAGCCAGGTATCAAATTCAGGCACTCCGATATAAGACCCAGGCATCTTAACCACTAGGCCAAATGTGTACTCCAAAACAACTGCTAAGAAAAGAGTACTCAAACAGATATTATTCATAACAGCCAAAAGGTGAAAGCCAATCCGGTTCTATCAACAGATGAATGAATAAACAAAATGTGTTATAGACATATAATGGAATATTATTTGGTCTGAACAAAGGATATTCTGACACATGTTACAACATGGATGAACCTGAAGACATTATGTTAAAAAGCAATAATCCAGTAAAACAACGACAAACATTGTATGATTCCACTGATGTGAGGGATCTAGAGCAGTCAAATTCACAGAGACAGAAAGTAGATTGCTGTTTGCCAGGTGCTGGGAGATAGGAAATGTGGAGTTAGTGTTAGTAGATATAGAGTTTCAGTTGTGGAAGATGAAAAAATTGGGAGATGGATAGTGGCGATGGTTGAACAATAATGTGAAATTGATTAAGGCCTCAAAACTGTATACTTCAAAATGGTTGAAATGGCAACTTTTATGTTATGCATATTTTACCACATTAAAAAAGAAAGTATATAACTAACACTCTAAAACTTGAATAACAGTTTACCTAATCACAGATGAAGACAGTGAATAACCAGGTATTTTTGAGACACCCTATGTCAGGAGTCTTTGATTTCACTATGCTTTGTTCTGCTTTCTCCATCCTTTAAGACCTCAACCCTCTAAGTTCACCTGATTCCATTTATTCATTTCATGAATTATGAGTTCTAAGACGGCAAGATCAGACTCCAAAAATCACCAATTGTTATATTCAAAAAAATTGTACTCTTTTTGAAGTCTGGTCTATGCAGCCAAAGAATACAATTTCATATTATATAGCATATTTTTGTAATAATTATCCTTTTATATAAAATTAATCCAGATAAATTTTATTATTATTATTATTATATACAACCCTTAATTATATATATTTTCTATAATCCTATATGTGGATTTTTTGGAATTTTAAATAATGTTCCAAAATTTCCACCTAAATTCCTAACTAGAAATGCTTAAGGATTATTGATCTATGATTTATAAAACTTATAGTAACCTGCTTTCAAGTTCTTTGTTTTCATTACAAAGCCAGAAAACATAAATTATCAGAAAATTTTATTTTTGTCTTATCTTAAATGTTGTACTTAAGAACATGGACTTCACAGTCACTTAGAATGAGTTAGAATTCTGGTTCCGACATCTACTAGATATGTGAGGGGGTAATTTAAATCTGTAATCTTGGTTTCCTCATTTGTAAAATCTGGCTATTAATACCTGAGAGCTGTCATAAGGACCATGAATAGGAAGCTCCTTAGCAATGTCTTACATGCAGTAAATTCTTAATAAATGGGAACTATTAACAATATAATATGTAGAAACGCTAAGTGCACTTAAGCATATTGTTGAACTGAAAAACATTGCATTCACCTTTTTAAAATGACTCCTTACACTGTTTTACTTTAACATAAAAAATTATACTTTGTAAAATTTATTTTCTTTTGTTCAGTCTCTTTGAAATTATGTCAAACAAAAGAAATTAAGCCAAACCAAACTGAGAGAAATAAAACTATGTAAGTGTGTGTGTATACATATAAACATGTGTATACATGAAACACACTCCGTTATAATGTGCTATATACAATTTAAGGAAGTTGTATAGAAACATGAGAAAGAAGTTGAAAAGTAAACAGGAAGTTCCACAGACTACCATGAGGCATACAAATGCAGGCAAATTTCCAAGTTCAACTATTTGAATAATTCATTCAGAATCACAATACTATCAGAAAACAATATACTGTAATTCTTCTGTTTATTGTCCTAGGAGATAGATCGACGAGTCCAGAAAGAGTTGAATAGTCTCATCCTTTCTTTTCAACGTAGGCAAAAGAATTTATGTTCTTTAAAGAAATTCAAGATGCTACAACAGTTGTCACTACTAAAGATTTCCCATTTGATAATGAGCTTTCTGCCACAATTTCACTAGAAAGCACAAAGAGTTTCTATATTCTTACTACCCAAACATAAAATAAAATTCAAATTAAACACTTGTGTTTCCAAAACATGTTCCTTAGAACATCAAAGGCATAAGACATTAGGATAGGAAGATAAAGGTGTTACTTGAAAGAAGTTGAAGTCTGGGAAATGCTTCATTCTTGTCTCTCTCTTAGAGATTCCTAATACTAATAGTATACAAGGTTCTGAGAAGTCTGACAGTGAGCAGAGCTGTTACAGTTTTAAACAGTGTTCCCCAAACTTGTCTGACCATAAAATTCTTTTTTTTTTTTTCAGGGAATGTTAAGGAACTAATGTTACTGATCAGTTATTTTGGAAAATGTACAACAAATTGCTTTAAGTTAGTTACTATATGAGTAGTAATTGGCAGAATTCACTGATGTCCCCAAAAGAGCCCATTGTATTTCATGTAAAAAAAATCTAATTCCTGGACTAGCATTTATAGTATCGCTGGCAAACTCATTTTCTGAATATCTACTTTGAATATTTTCAAAAAATATTCATTTTCTGAATATCTACTTTTTCAGATATTTATCTGAATATCTACCTGACAACCTGTTTGTTATTTAATCAAGTCCAAACATCCAGTTTCTAATATCTGTGAAAAGCTAAAAATTGACGTGACTCTCCCATCCATTGCTTTTCTTTCTGGGCTTTACTGTAAGCTGAGAAAAATATTGCAGCTATCAACTACTGCATATCTTCAAATATGAGAATATTAAACTCAGTTACAGCACTTTATCAGTTGGTGCTATGAGCTTTCATTTACACAATTCCACAGTAAAACAATGAATGTTCCACAACATTAATTCTGAAGTAGAGTAGCGATTACTTTTTCCATCCCCTGACACCCCCTAACCAGCCCCCCAATAAACTATTTTATGTATGAAGGTTAAGCAACTTGCCCCAAGTACCAATAGTCAGCAGGGACCAATTTCTTGTTGGAAAGACACTGTGCAGGTTACAACTATAGAAATTGTAGCAGATAATCACACTAAAATATTAACAAAAACAGGAAATTCCTTTACTAATAGCTTATTATTTAAGGAATTTTCTTCTTTTGAAAGAATTTTGGAACATAATTTACTAGAATTCTAAACTTGAACAAGAAAAATCAAATGGAATGGTAGATAACTTTTTCTGAGTTCAGAAATTAAGAATAAAATCTTAACAACTGTAATGAGACATTCATTACTTTGTCCTTGTGTTAGATGAAACAAAATAAGCAAGCTATAATCAATTCTGGTTGTGAAATGTGAATGTGGATGATTATGCTGTCAGGCTGTGGCATCACTTTCTTCCTGGGCTCTCCCTTCAATTTCAAAAGTACAAAAAGCATAACAACATGTTTAATGTGAAAGAGACATCAACTATTTTTAAAAGTCTAATAGGGAAGAAAACAATGACGGTCGTTATAGAAATCATATTTTGGTAGTTCATGAGCATTTGGTCATTGATTTTCAAGTTAAACAAAATTATATGACCACTGGAAGAAAAAAACACTTCAAAACAGGTATGGCAGGATACATGTAATCATAGTATTTTATATTATGATAATATATACCAATAACAGTACACCAGAGATAAGGTAAGTGTCAATGAGAAGGAAAAATCTGATGTGAAAGGAGTCAATATTGTTGATAATAAAGAAAAAGTATCAGGTTCAAGTTTTTGAATGTAGAAGCAGAGGTAACAAAAATTGGTCTTCACCTGGTAAGTGTGTACTCCCTGAGTCCTGAATGCAAATTCATGGCAGAAAAAGTACCTATGCATCCACGCAATCTTTTGTCTCGACCAATCTTCCATGTTACAAACAGTGGGCTGTAATGGAAGATAAAAATAGGGTAAATCAGTCAATTCAATTCAAGCAAGTATCTACTGAGTATTCACCATACGCCAGGTTAGGTGCCTGAGATATAAAAACCAAAAGACAGGCCCCCAGGGGGCTGAGTCTAGCCCAGTAGGACTCCATTTAGCAAAAACTGTACTACATCGTATTGCGTTCTGTGTGTTAGGTATCACAATGCATGTTTTCAACAAATTATTTATGCTACTCTTCATCAACAACTCTGGGAGGCTGATACTAACATTCCTTTCTATAAATGGGGTCGTCCCATGGTTTATACATAAGGAAGTAAGTACTCAAGCCTGGGCAATCTTAACTATAAAGCCTTAACCATTCCATATTCCTCACTTAAACTTCAAGTAACTGATTGATTCATAAGTTTAATTTATAAAACCAGGGAAAAAGTCAATAGTTTCAATACTTCCTGAAAATACCAGGGCTATGTATTGTGAAATGTGCTGTGAGAGACACAAGGATACCTAAACCTCAGTCATCACTTTCTAGGACCCAGTACAAGTGGAAACCAAGTTCATAGCTAAATAACAGAAGGCAAAAGAAAATAAACACTATAAACTACATACAAAATGTCCTAAATTAAGGTACTGGGATAGAAGATAATTTCATCAAACTTGATAACCTCCAGCTTGGCCTAGAAAAATGAATGGAGTTTGCAGAGGTAAATAACAGGAGGGCTGGCGCTGTGGCTCACTTGGTTAATCATCTGCCTGCAGCGTCGGCATCCCATATGGGCACCGGGTTCTAGTCCCGGTTGCTCCTCTTCCAGTTCAGCTCTCTGCTGTGGCCCTGGAGGGCAGTGGAGGATGGCCCAAGTGCTTGGGCCCCTGCACCCGCGTGGGAGACCAGGAAGAAGCACCTGGCTCCTGGCTTTGGATAGGCGCAGCACTGGCCGTAGCGGCCATTTGGGGAGTGAACCAACAGAAGGAAGACCTTTCTCTCTCTCTCTCTCATTGTCTATAACTCTACCTGTAAAGAACAAAGTATCAATTACAATAAAATGGCATCAAGAATAATAAGGTCTTAAATGAAGTTTAAAACAGCAGATATTTGGATTCAGCTGCAAATCAATGACAATCTCAATTAATGCTTAGGTACAGATACAATTATGTTCTAATTAGAAGCAATTTATACCTCAGTTTTTAGGAAGTAAATTGATTTACACATCTTGGGACTTTTTGTAAACACAAATACACTACAGTTAAAGATGGTCTTATGAGTATTCAAAGCAATACTGATATATTTTTGCTTTCTAAAAAAATTGTAGGGGGATATATCATATCTCATATACTTCTTTTTAAAGAAGATAGAACATTTTTTTAAGATTTTTTTTATTTGAAAGGCAGAGCTACAGAGAGGTAGAAAAGAGATAAAGAGAGAGATCTTCCATCTGCTGATTCACTCCCCAAATGGCCACAACGGCTGGAGCTGGGCTGATCTGAAGTCAGGAGCCTGCAGGCTCCTCCTGGTCTCCCACGTGGGTGCAGGGGGCCAAGCACCTGGGCCATCCTCCACTGCCTTCCCAGGACATAGCAGAGAGCTGGATCAGAAGTGGAGCAGCCGGGACTAGAACCAGCAGTGCCCACATGGGATTGCCAGCACTGCAGGCCATGCCTTTACCCAATACATCACAGCGCCAGTCCCCATATCTCATATACTTTTTACAATACTCTGGTAAGTTGGAGAACACATTTTAAATTACTCTCTTGTTGGTCATTGGCAGTGAGATGAAAAGCTATCCCACTCAAGCACTTCAATCACTCACCTGAGACACTTAAATTATGCCAAGTACTGACTGGCAGACACCATGATGAACAGGTTCCTAAATAAATGCTGTATACAAACCATGGAGTGATACTAAGAGCTACATTCTTCAAAGAGCTTAATGTCCAATATAATTGAAAAAAAAACATCTAAAATGTAATGGCAGGTTATTGTCATCTCTAGCATTTAAGTGCTCGATGACCTCCACTAAAGGTACTAAAATCAGAAGGCAAAAGCCAGGTTTTCTGCTTTCTTGAGACAAGAGTCTAATGCTCCGTCTAGAAATCTCTCCCTAATTGTTCTTGGCTAAAAATTGATCAGGAAGACAAGGATTAGATGGATTACCCTCTCACCAATTCTTGTATCACCTATACAAATACTAATATGCTAAAACTCAGAGTATCTTCAAAGATGAATGTCACCTGTTTATTGTTCACTTCCTAACTCTGTAGAGACAACATCAGCAACCATTTCTGTGTGTAGCAATTCTTTCTCATAATAATGACTATACATAGTCATTGTAAGACAAATCCTGTGGAAGCTTCAGAATGAAGTGAATCATGCTGTAATACGTGTAATAACATACCTTTTAAACCACAGAACTATGTTGTATAGACTCTTACACAGTAACTTAAGTGAACCAAAAAGTGTGAGTGAATTAATTTCCTATTAAAAAATTAGAAATGGAAGTCATTTAAAAGTACTTTATCTTTGGGGCCAGTGCTGTGGTGTAGTGGATAAAGCCACCACCTACAGTGCCGGCATCCCATATAGGCACCAGTTTGAGTCCTGGATGCTCTCTTTCTGGTCCAGTTCTCTGCTATGGCCTGGGAAAGCAGTGGAAGATGGTCCAAGTCCTTGGGTTCTTGCACCCACATGAGAGACCTGGAGGAAGCTCCTGGCCCCTGATCGGTGCATCTCTGGCCAATGTGGCCAATTTGGGAGTGAACCAGCAGATGGAAGACTCCTCTCCCTCCATCCCTCCCTCCCCTTCTGTGTAACTCTTTTAAATAAATAATAAATAAATCTTTTTCAAAAAGTACTTTATCTTCAATTCTCTTATGCATCCCACCAAAATATGCAAAGATACATACACTATTCTTCCTATAATGTAACCCTATCTGCACAAGTCACCATGCAAAATGTAATGTATAACTAGAAAAAAAATACACAAACAGCATAGCATGCCTGGAAATATTTTGGAGAGTATTCAAGTATGAGTGGAGGAAATTACCTATAGTTTCTTATGATACTTTACTATCCCTGATGAGGGAATGATTAATTCAGGACTTAAGGTGCTAGAGGATAAGCTGCATTTTACAGGGTGGCCTGGGGAGCAAAGGCACTACACAATAAGCAAGAGTATGGAGATATAAAATTGCAAGCATATTCAGGGAACAGGAGGTAGTCTGATGGTCTTGATAAATTATTATGGTCTCTTCCAGATTTAACATTTTTTGAATCTTAGGCACTGCTGAATATGTATTCTCAAGAGCTCTCAAGTAGAGGTGGAGCAAGGGCAAGCATTGTGGCACAGCAGGTTAAGCTTCCATTTGAGACACCAGCATCCCACATCAGAATACTGCTTTTGATCCAGCTTCCTACTAATGCACCTGGGAAGGCAGCAGATGGTGGCCCACGAGCTTGGGCTCCTGCCACCCACATGGGAGACTGAGATGGAGTTCCTGGTGCTGGTTTCAGCCTGGCCCAGCCCTGGTATTGCAGCCATTTGGGAAGTGAACCAGCAGATGGAAAATCTCTGTCTCCCTACCCCGATGTCATTCTGCCTTTCAAATAAATGAATGAATAAACAAATCTTTTAAAGAAGAGGTTAATCAGATGCAGAATCATTTATACTTTCCCTCTTCCTCACCTGCCCAAGGTAACATTAATTTTGAGGACTGAGACTGCAGGAAGTATCTACCATGTCAAAGATGGGAGGTAGTGCTACTCTACAATCTGTGTTGAGGACAGATGCCTGAAGATGGAAAGCTTGTTAGCTTTTAGCACACAAAACACAGCTATTCCCTAAAAACCTGGGACTCTGAATTCTCATTTGCAAATGCTCACATAGTGTTTTATAAAGAATACATATATGGAATAAAAAACAATCAAATACCTAAAAGCAACAGTTAATAAGGAAAAGAATCCAGACATACGCATTTTAAAGTAGAATGAACAGAATAAACATTGCTGAACACAAGAGATTGCATTTTGTGTTGACAAATACTTTGTGCAGGGCAATGACTACAGGGAAATTCAATATGTATTATCGGAAAAAAGCAACACAAATTTTTCTTCACCTAACACAAAGAGGAAAGACACAGGCAATTTCAGTCTGTTGTGCTATTAAAACATGTAAGTACTCATGAGGACTTAAAACATCAGCAATAATCACAGACAGATTAAAGTAGAAAAAAGAATTTTGGGTCTGTTGAGAGGAGTTGCTCAATGACAAGAAAATAAGGAAAATAGTTCATAGTAAGAGAAAGACTGATTTTGGAAAATTCTTCTACCATATGGTTCAAGGCCACCTACATACATTGCAAAAATACTACAAACTAGAAACGAGCTCAAAATAAGATGAAATATTAATGGAAATGTCTGCTGAGAGTAACCAGAAATAGCTTTTTAAGGATTTTTCCTACTTCTGAGCATTTTGTACCACTATGTTCTATGAAACCTTTGGAGAAAAGCAAACTCTCCAATTTTCCAAATCTGTAGACAGGAACAGGAAGTATCCATCCCATCAAGGTGAATCTTCCCTGCCAACTGGCAGCCAATAATGTCAGGCCAACAGTGGCTCTAAGGGAAATGTAGATACATGGACTCAGCAAAAGAATAAAAAGGCAATCTAAATCTGCATAGGATACTCCCCAGTCCACACTGTATTCCACTTCCCAGACCCCTCTTCTGAGACTGTTCTACTGATACAAGCAAAAACAGACTATATATAGATATAGCTTATGTGAGTGAGATACAATTAAATGAGACAATGGAAAAAGTATACTTACTTAATATTTTATCTTAAATACTCTCTCCTACAATAATAAGGTAAAAACAGGAGTTTTAAAAAATCAACTTACACCATTGCAAGTTCTCACTCTGTGGCAATTTGCTCTTCCTTAGAATGAAATTTATAGGTGTCACTGTTAACAAAATATTAATCCCTACCAATATGATAATAATTTACTAT